ACCCAGGTTTTACCAGTATAACTTGGGTAGCTATTAAATTTATTCCTTAAATATGAAGATAAACATCAGCTTGAATAATAGACGGAGATTTTTGAAACGCTCCTGTGATGTTGTATCTAGGCTGTATTTGAACGATTGCCCTGTTCTTTTGCGCTGCCAAAGCATATAACTAAAACCCCCAATGTTTAAGCACAAAGTATAAAAAAAATCAAAGTACTGAAAGTACTATTACGAGTTGATGGTATTGATTATATAATGTTTAAATGAGTTGAGGTCTCTAGTCCATATATGGATATGTGATATTATGTGCAATGATGAAAACTATCACTTTAAAATCTTTTCTTTTTGTTTTCTTTGAGAAATAAAATTATATCATTTTATTTACACCTTTTGCAACATGTATTTTAAACATGCATATTTATTTTTGTTTTTTTTTAATATTTACTAGAATGTATGATAATTTATCACAAATCGAACCTTTAAACATAGAAAACAAAAAATACTAGCTAGTTTTGGATTTTTCATAAAATGGCAATGTAGCTTGCATTTAAAGTAATTTGTATTTTTACAAAATATTAAAGGATACCATCATTGAAATGGTCACAGAGCACAGACTATCATCATTAAAACTACCGAGAACAGTTTTTGGTCACTCGATGTCATTTGACAGAAATATTATATATCAAGTGACTAGAAATTTCAAATAGGGACAAATGGCACAACTGTTGTAAAATCATATAACAGTATTAAAACAACTCCTAAATAGACAAAAAAGAAGCCTTAAACACACATATCTAAAACTAATAGGTCAAACCTACTATAGTATTACAAATAGGGAATTATTATTGACAAATAGTGCAAATTGAATTATTTCATTAACATGCTTATTGAATATTTTCACTGCTTTCTTAAACAAACAATTTGACATTTTCAATGCACATCAATATGTTCCGATTCTCGTTATTAAGCCAGTCTTAAAATTTACATCTTTTACTTTCATTTATATGTAGATTTCATAATTCAATTTTCTTGATTTAGTTACTATTGAAATTCAACTCCTTTTTTCAAAGTTTACATGCACATATGATATTTCAAATCTTTTGATTTAGCCACTCTTGATATTCAGCCCCCTGTCTTTTATGATCATTCACAAAAATATTTTAATTCTCTTGATTACGCTACTCCTGGAGTTCAACTTCTTGACATTTAACTGAAATGAGCATTTTATATGTTATTTCGGTTAGTTTAGTCACTCTTGTAATATAACTACTTGACTTTAATACATTGTATTTCCATTAGTGAACTCTTCAGAATTAGAGGAGCGTTTGGTCGTCTGACTGGGACAGCATGGCATTGCAGATAATACAAAACATGCCAGTATCTAACCAATTTTAAATGTTAAGTGCATTTGTCATTCTAACTAAAGAATAGAAGAACTAAAAGACATATGAAAATGAGCGAAAACCTTAACTTTATCGTCCATAAATAAAAATACGACATTTCCGAGGTATGTGTATTGACTTTAAATGTACCATTACGATAAATAGATACATACGATCACCAATAGATGTAAATTAATATCCTTGTCATCTCTACTCTTGATTTAAATAAAGTTCACAACAATAAAGTATTTCATATTCATATTGTTAGGATTTGTTCATCGACATTCAACGTGTTGTTTACATGTTTATGTTACGTTTGTCCCAGAAATCCCGCGAGATTTGTACATTCTCCTACTTTTTCACAAAAGAGCGCACTAAGAACTATAACTCTTCAATAGTGGAAATAGAACGTATTGACATGCACATTTTATATATCATTTCTCTCGGTTTAGCCTTTCTTGAAATTCAACTACTTGACTTTCATTTCATATGCATTTAAAAATTCGTTCGGCTTTTCGACTTAAGACTTTAAATTCATCACAATGACATGATATTGACTATTTACATGATCTAGCTACTCTTGAATTAATTTGATTTCTTGATCATTTCACATTTATAAATATGCATTTCACATTTAATTCATCAATAACATCCCACTTAATTTTTTGTTTTTATTTATCGCCTTCAGTACTATTAATTCACTTTATAACATGGCCAGCATCTGATAGCAAAACACAGCTTTCCAGTGTAGTGCCGACAATTGAGATAAGAATCATAGGCGTGTTAAGTAACCATTGCTGTATTTAAAGCTTGCTGTGAAACAGATCTAGATTGTGGAGGACAGGAATTCTCAACAGTGTTTTTAACAGGGAAAAAGAAATTGGAGCACAAAGTTGTCCGCTGCTGAAAAAATCTGACCCTTTAAGCAATCGAAATATTTTTTTGCTTGCACAAGAAATAAGAACCTTAATTTTAAAATTGTTTTTTCAACCAGTACAGCTCATTTCTTCCGTTTGAGATTAGTAGCTGATCTACTTCGACCTTCCTTACTGCAAACTTCTCGCTTTGTTTACAAACATTGGAAGTGTTCTCTGTGTTGAACGATTCATCACTAACGCGGAAAAACTGCTCTGTTCATTAGCATAACAGCGCAAGAATTACTTTATTTATATACCACCACCACGTCAATCTTTTAAAAACAACCTGGTTTGTAAATGTTCAATTTCGTGAATTTTCTTTAAAAATCTGTTTTCAAAGTACTTCTTATTATATAAAACATTTATTGATTTACAAATCAAAACTTTGTTTGCACGACATCTCACTTTTGTTGACCGCATGCCCCTAACACTATTTTGTTTCGCAGATGGACACAAATTCCAATAAAATTAATAATAAATATTTATGTTTATAAACACTTTAAAGCATACCAGGAAACATATTCTTGTTCTGTAGATTATGAAAACGGTAAATAAACCAATATTATACAAGAACCTGTACGCAAAATACTCAAATGAAAATTTGATTAGTTTCGATACATTGGGGAATCCCTTACAAGTCACATAACATGAGTTGATACCATCAACTCGTAAAAAACGGTATTGTGTTCTATTTAATACTATATAAATGCATACAATGTAAACACTGTATTTTAGTAAAAATAAAAGAATGTCGAAGCGGATTGGGTAGTTATGGTGTACAGGGTCGTTTATCAGAATAAGTTTGATACGGCGTTAATCGTTACAATACACTACAATTCAAAAGGTTAAAACCAAAAATTAAACATTTTTCGGAGATAGACAGATAGAGGCAGGACAAAATCTAAGTCCACGATCTTCGGGGACATAACATGAAATGTCAAGATTCAGATACTGTAATTCCAAATAATGCACCATCTCTCATCTCCCTTTATTGACTGAAAACGAATGATATTTGCTATATAACGTATTTCAGTTATTAAATAAACTCTTTCTAGACTGTTGGTCTATAGCAGAGTTGATGTATGAAAAGAATAATTGAAAAAAGAGCTTTTCGTATGATATTTTAATAAGTTTTTGGGCTCTTTTAGTATAATGTTTTTCTTTTTATCAACCAATATCCTACCACTCAAATTTCTGTCTGTAGTACTATCACATGGTAACTTCTTTAAATACCTCGATTCATATTGTCAAATATTAGCCCCTGTGATCGATGGATTGTAAACATTGTTTGGCTAGAATGCTTAGTAAATAACAGAACAGTACGTCTCAATTATCATGTAAAAGTTTGTTTAAGAAAATAAAGAACTATATACGGTAAGGGCGTATTCCTGCCCCCATAATAGTCAAATTTTGAAAATCTCTTGAAATGAGAAAAAGTGCATATATTGTATAAAATAATCCAAATTAAGACAATACACTATGAAAGTGGAAAAATTAGTCGGCCTTTCTTGTCTCTGTGACGTCACAAACTATTTGGATTTCCGTTATTTTTAAAATAGAGGCCAAAATGCACAGAGTTTGTTCAATTTTGACTATAGTATTTATAGAGCGCAAGCCTGCTCAGGTACCATATTCACATATTTCATTGATGTTATCATTCTACACATTATATCAAAAGATCTAGTCTGAGCAGACCTGCGCTCGGTAATTTCCAATCAAAATACCGACGTAAAATACGCTATTTTCTCTCAAAATCATTGCAATTTGGAATTTACGTCATTTTATTGACGTCATATCTAACTAATGATGTCATAGTTGATAAAAATACTTAATGCTTTGAAGTCTGCAAATATCCACCTGGTTTAGAACATCAAAGTTTTATTTTGGGGGCAGATACTGGCCACTACAGAATATAGTCCTTTTAAAAAATATAGGACTGAGTCCCAGAGTTTCGAAGGCTTCACGATAGTCTGTGTATCTTAAATTTCGCAAGTTATGAGAGTTTCCTCAGAGTTAGGTCCTCATGAAAAAGTAAATCTCACGCTAGAATTTAAATTTTAAACTAGATCCTCTCCACAATCTACTCAGATCTTCTTTGCCCGAAGCCGATCTGTTTCCTTTTAAAGGAGCGAAATCTGTTCATCATTTCCTTTCAAATCTTATGTATAAACGTTGCTAAGGATAGATAAACAAGTGTTTAGCAATTCAGATTAGCATAAAAAATTCCCTTATATCGCTCATCGTTACATAACATTGACGGAAATATAGAAGATATAAGATTAAAACATACACACAATATTTTCTCTGTGTCAAGGAAGACAAAATGATATGTAGGCTTTCATTATGCCATCATTTCCATATTTTATTTCCTTTCTCTCCTCTCTTTAAATGCAAGATTTATCTCGAAATTAAAAAAAATTATATATATATATATATATATATATATATATATATATATATATATATATATATATATATATATATATATATATATATATATATATATATATATATATATATATATATATATACTGGTTTGTCATATTATAAGTGGTATGAGATCATACATGTATAACCTAAAAAGGAAGGTGATAAGTATACATCCAATGATTTCTCCCCCCGATGACACATCATCTCCATCGTCCACTTAGAAAACGAAATTATCCGGAAAAATACACGAACCCAAGAAAACAAATCAGATTGAATTAACAGAATAATGAAGTGGACGTCAGTGTTGTGTTTTTGTATATTGGACTATGTTGTAACAAGTCTAGGTAAAGAGAAGTTTAGTGTATTAGTTTTATTTTGTTTCTCTTTTTGCCTCTTCGAACACGCTTCTTGGGTTGATTGAAAAGTCATAAATTCAGTAACAAATGTGGGAAATGTAGTGATAAAATGTCAGAACAGATAATGGCATGATTTGCATCTGGATAAACATTAATTTTTGCTAATAAGTTAACTCTTCTCAGCATTTTGTTGGTCTGAGATAAATGCCCGATTTCAAGTTTAATTATAGAGGAAGACAAACAAAGCGAGATTTGTTATTGATATGCTCCGTAATTTATCATTTGAAATATAAATTTGAATTGGAGTACTTAGATAGAATTTCAAAAAATCGTGTAGATTTATAATAACTTCTAATAATGCTATTGAAAGTATTTCATGCTTTCCAAAGGAAAAAAAACTTTAATTTTTTACTGATGAAAGTAATTAAAGGAATATTTATAGCCGTTTTTATACATATCTTTTTTAAAAGGACAGTAAGTCGTTAGATTTGCAAATATACTTCAAATCACTTAGTGAGACGAGAGATACTTAGTAATGTTGTAGGGTCAAAGCAGCGATAGTAATTGGAATGGAATTTTAAGTTAAATCATTCATTCATTGGCTAAAACTAATTCGACCGCTATTCTGTATCAATTTAATTAAGCTATATTTTTCCGTGTAATCTTTCACTTTTGTTAGTTTCCGATCGAAGTCCATAATTTTTTAAAGGACTTTGTTTGATTTGTGACAATGATTAATTTTTCAATGGTCATTACTTCATTGTTAACGTTTTGTTATAGATATACGATAAACATTTACCCAATTTTATCGTCTTCAATCTAGTTAGTTTTTTTTTCAGGATGTGCTGTCGGTATTTCCACAGGCGAACTCCTATCATCTGATAACTCGTGTTACCAAATCATCACCGAGAGCCTGTCTCGTCAGGTTGCCTCGGAGAGATGTATCACGGGAGGGGGACATCTGGGGGTGATCAGACAAAATGTAACCTTGACAGCGATAGGAAATCGCATCAAACAGCAGAGTGAATCCGGAATACTGAGCAGCACCGTATTCTGGTTAGGAATGAATGTCACCAGGGGGCGCATTCTGACTGAAAATGGTACAAATGCGTTTTCAAATGTGTTCGTTTGAAATACTCAAATGAGATTATAGTCATGAAAGGATGACATATAAACATTCACAATCTTTTTTGGGGTTCCGAGTACTGTCGGTTCTTTGGATTGTATAATGTCCTTTATTAGTACCAGGTTATAATTAAGCAATAACCTCAAGCTTTACAAGGAAAGGGGTACATTTGCTCATAATTATAAGAACCAAAATAATTGTGTTTTATTTTCTTTTCAAAGGTCAAGAAGTACTATTGTCATCAAATATTGTTCAATCAACAACAGATTTCCCACGAGGATCATGTATCCTTATCTCAATATCCTCAGGAGAGCCAGTCCTTATATCAGCGGATTGTTCTAGAGCATTCTGGATGTATGGTTTTATATGTCAATATGGTAAGTAACCGATATCTAGATGTATGGTTTTATATGTCAATATGGTAAGTAACCGATATCTAGATGTATGGTTTTATATGTCAATATGGTAAGTAACCGATATCTGGCTGTATGGTTATATATGTCAAAATTGTAAATGACAGATATCTGAATGTATGGCTATATATGTTAATATGTTGAGTAACCGATATCTGAATGGTTAAACATGTCAATATAGTATGTGACCGATATCTGCATATATAGACATATATGTCAATATGGTTGGTTAGTATATTTAGATATATCGTTATATATGTCAATATTTGGCTGTATGGATATATATGCCAATATGGTAAATGACCGATATCTGGATGTCGATATAGTAAGTTTTTGATATCTGGGTATACGTTTTTTATTACATTTTCAATGGTGAAATACTGTTTTTTATTTATTGAATAAAAGTGATATCCTTTAACAGTGTGAAAGGATACCAAAATGATATTCTGTCACAGTGTGAAAGGATATCAAAGTATGTAAAAATAATTTATGTCCTGTCATAAGATAGAAATAGTAACTAAACCATCTTGATAGAGGCTAAAATTGTAAATTTCCTCCCAAATATACACTGAACCAAACTTCTAAGTGTTCACCTACCATTTTTTAAGTTATAAAGAACAAATGCATACAATAAATAATTTCTTTAATTCATGGTTGATGATGCATATTTCAGTTCGATGTTGCATAAATTTCATGTGAGTATCTCGTCAGACTTTAAAGCAAAGTGTCAAGGACATGATGTACCCTCAAAATGAAAATTCACATAAAATAATCTCTATGGAGTTCAAATTATTGCAAGACGTCCTTTTCTCATGGATACCATGTACCCTTGAATAGGAGGTTGATCTATCTGCTGCCACACGTACTGCATGGATCTTTCTAAAGCGTTGAAATTGTGTGGAAGGAGGGGGGGGGGGGCTTGGACATTCCTTTTGAAAGTCCCAAATGTGTTCAATGGGATTTAGATCCGGGTATTTGGCAGGCCAGTGCATCACACAGATGCCTTTTTGTCAACACTTAGACCCTCCTTGGGCGTTACGCAAGTAAGTGTACCTCTTTAAGGATGATTCAGACTGTTTGAGATGATATTGGACTGCCATGAGCACCATTTTGTTGCCAATTTCTTACCATTGAAGTTGCTGCTTTAAATGTTTCTAAAGTGGTTCAGGACCATGTAACAATCTTTTAACCTGGCTGTGACGCGAAACCTTGGCCTCAGACGAAGATCCAGATCACTTCCGGTTTAGTTAAATTTTGTCCAAAGCTTTCAAACTGGGATAAGTTGGCGATAAAAATGAGACATAACCTATAGAAAAATGTGTTTAAATGGATTTTTATACTGGTTGTTAATTTTTAAAAGTAATATCAAGGACAAATAAACAGTAAAATAAAAGTTTGTAAAACGTGTCATAAGGATGATCCAGATATTAACATTCCAACGGCTCTCCCTCCTTCCTCAATGGTCATTTTGCCCATGTTTTGTGTTTTTTAGTTACACCAGTTGTTAAAAATTGATAATGATCACAAAAAGAAGCTGATTACACAAAGCACGTGTCGCAAAGTACAGATTTATTGTTTTTTAGCTTCGTCACGGGACATTGGTTTTCATCGGTGATAAGTGATTTTCTTTCGACAATTGTTGAGAAGACTCATTGGTTATAATAATTTGAAAATATCATAATATTTCATCATGTAGTTTTTAAATAAATGCATTTATTAGAGTGAACACTTAGAAGTTTTGTTAAGTGTATTGCTAAAATCCATGTTAAATAATTGCTAAGCTATGACATCTCAACCGTTCAACCATGACATCACAACCTATAACACTGTGTTAAGAAAAGACAGGGGCAAATAGAAATTTAAAAAAATGTAAAAAACAGAAAATTCAATGTTTTGTTGATGGATATGGAATTTATATCACTCATGAGACACGATTTTTTTTTATGTTTTCACTTGTACTTCGCACTCGTGAAAATACAAAAAACCCTGTCCACCCGTGAAATAAATTCCATATCCATCAACAAAACATTGAATATCCTCTCTCTCTCTCTCTCTCTCTCTCTCTCTCTCTCTCTATATATATATATATATGTCGATATGGTGATTGATATATAAGGGTATATATGTTTTTTTCTTGGTATGAATGATTAGTTTTGTCAGGCTTAATTATTTTTTATGAATGTTGGAGGACAAGTGTATGTATGTATCAATATCATGAGTTACTGGGACGCAATATTATTGACCTGGAATGAAAAAGGGAGTTAAATTTTGTTTATTAATTGCAGTTAGGCTTTTGAATGAAAGAAATTTGCTTAATCTGTTGTTCACCACAGAATGCCCCCATTTCTGCATTTAGCATTAGTTTACATAATTATTAGACTCATTTGGAATGGCATTAGAAGTTACAGAGCTATCATTGTGGCAGAGTTCTTCGCGGAAAATCCAAAAATGACAGACATTTGTACACAATTTGTCTCTTTTTAAAGGAGACATCATGTGTTATGGACGTTTTTCCTTACAAAATTTCCAAAAATACTCACATGTCCTGTATTTAAGTGTCGTTTTCTCTTCGTGGGAGATGAAGTCGATAGATATTTGTACGTGCACTGTATTATCACACTACTCTTAGTGTTATCACGAGGAAAAATTTATTATGTAAAAGATTGTTCAAGTTTCTAAAATTAAGTATTTTGCTTTTAAACAACTCCTTTAAAATTCTTTAACTTTTCGAAATATTTCCTTTATATAATTCAGTACCCTCAATCATTATCGGTGGTTTCAGGTAATCTAAGCCGATCAAGACTTTCTCAGATCCATAATAAATGTTGAAGCGCTGTTTGGACTGAACTCGGTTAACTTTACTGAAATAGCATGACCTGAGTGTCGATCGGGTTAGAATTTACAGCGTGCTAATTTGTGCAGTGGTCGAAATCCAAATACGGCATTTTTGTTAATGATAATTTTTCCGATGTAGTTATGTTTATAAAATGCCTATACAAAGCTAAAGATTTCCTGTATTCAAAAGTATTGAAACTATATATAACTTAGTATTCTTCATCTGAAGGTTATTCATGCTTAATGATTTATTTATTTTTGTCTCATTCTATTTCAGCACTATCTTCACAATCAGCGTTATCCTCTGGCAGTACTTCCGGGTTATCCCTCATCACTTTAGCTTTGCTTGTGACACGATATCTTCTTTAAGTGATCTCCATGTATATCTTGCTTCTTAGGCATTTTATTTATTACGATTTTTTTTTTATAACGGAATGACTTTTTTAATGAATGTGTCTGTGAAAGGCATTAGAATATTTGAGATAATTTTATCATGGCTTGTTATATCATTTTGTTTAAGATCTTTCTAGAATCTTTAAGCAGGCATGGAAAGCCTTATGTTGTCTGCTGATGTTGTATATCAATAAAATATTTCTAATTTGATATCAGCAGGTAATATGGAGAACCGGAAGTTTTGCTCAATTATGAAAATTTAGCTCTTTTATAGAGTTATGATTATATGAGGTTTTCTGATCAAAATGTGTGTGTGAGGGTGTGTGTGTATGTGTGTGTGAGGGCGTGTGCGTGAATGTGTAAAAGATTTTTTTTTTTACATCTGCAAAACCCCGTCCCGGTATATATGCCAGTATCAATCAAAATTTTGAACAAATAATTAAAATCCTAGGGGTTCAAATTAAAGGGCTTAGCCCCCTTTAAGAGGATATTATTTGAAATTTGTGAACTTGGCTTAGTGGCAGGCCTCTAAGTGACCTAAAAAATTAAGGTGCCATCTGCCTCCTAATTAAAAACATTCAGTCGCCATTGCAACTTCTTAGTCGCCAGGCAAACCTTTCTAAGGCGCCAATTTAAAAACCTATATAAGTCAATATATGGAGACATGTCCATTGCTAACTTTTATACTTTTTTCTGCTCTTTATAGAAAAAATTTTATTGTTCACTAATTTGATTATCACCAGGTCTATTTAAAATGGTCGCCAATTAGGCGACTTATAGAGAAACTTTAGGCGCCAATTAAAATTTTTAGGCGTCATGTCATCTAAATTAGTTGCCAATTAGAGCCCTAATGGTCTTTTTAAATTGCTTTTCGCATGACTTGCTGGACCAGTTTTTTTTTATTGCTTTTGACTCAAATTTGTGTAAACAATGAGCCACAAAAACGGAACAACAATAAGCGGCTACAATTTGACATATAATATATATGCAATTTTTTTTTTCAAAAAAAAAAAACTTGTTGAAAATATCAAGGCCACAATAAGTAAAATTTACACGCAAACATACACAGTGAAAATTATACTTTGTCCAAATTTAGGATCTCAGAGCAATAATCAGCTGCAGTTAGAGGCCACTCAGAAAACTTAAGTATTACGTGTAAACTTATCATCAATACATTTGAAATTAAAATAGTTTTAAATAATGGAATTTTTTAATTGATGACCACATTATGGGGCTTCATTTGTCTTTAAGGAAAAGACAAATTGAATCCTTTAAAATGTCGTATAGTTTATTTTCAGTATTGTTGGATATTTATGGTCGATTGAACTACGATAAAAACACTATTTCTCCGTTTTATTTTTCATGAATAATTTTAAGCCTATTTCTTTTTTATTCTTATAAAGTCAAGCGAGGTAACTATTTTTTCATTGAAGTTTTTGAACAGTCTCAGTATTAATGGGGAGGCCATTCGAATATGTATCATCACCACATTTGCTCTGAAAAAGTTTGGAGAAAATTTTTGTTCTTCAAACGACGCTCACATCTCCCAAACTTTTAGAATAGTAATACATGTACTTAAATTTGTGTTTAGGTAGATTATGTTTCATCATTTTTATATTGGCGACTATTTTGTTATATAGAATATTATATTATATATTTCAGCGTATTGTCAGAAAGTTTTACCTTTCCCATCTTTGATGCAAATGTTATATTTAGTGTTTGGATTTTCAAAATTTCAAAATTAGTGTAATTTCATCATTGCAAGTTTTTTTTTAACTTAATAAAAAGATTTAAATGTAAAATTTAATGAAATGTCATTAGTACTAAAATTCAATGAATTTGTGATTTTTATAATAAATGAATATTTCAACTTCAACTCTGTGATTTTATTGTTGCGTTATGTATTTATAATATAACATCAATCAGAGAAACTCTTAATGCGAGTCATGCAGGAAGATGAGCAACTGTTATGGCTCGACCATTTGTTTTTCATGCTTAGCCTTATCTATTCATTGTTTGTTCATTTGCGTCAATAACTTTATGTTTTACAGAGTATTGCTGAAAAACAAAGCCGGACAGAGCAAAGTTTTTCTTTATTGTAATATTTCTCTTGATACCATACCAATTTTTTACATGGTCTTTGGAAGAAGCCGTTAAATTCATCACAATACTCTGATATGTGTTCTCGTGATTGTAGTATATTCTTATATCAGCAATAACTACCTTTAATATATTTATATACATGTATAATACGTGTGGTGGATACTACATATACCTCAGGGTATACAGTGCACCATTTAGGAGTAAATATCCGCTGCTGACCGATCACAGCTGCGGTATGCTCTTTGTCATGATCAAGCAAACAAAGAAGATTCGTAAACAATGTGAAAATGGTGTAACAATTTGTTTTGAAAAACGTCAGTCAACATTCGACTTAATGATAGATTATATTTGCAGACAGGGTCGTTGTATCGAGCTTAGAATTCGCGAAATGTTGATTTTAAGCGAGGCTGTTAATAATCTTTTTTCATCAACTTATTTGTCAAAAGCTTGCCTCATTTAGATATTTTTTTGAACGTAGAGCATGCTCTTACGTATCGAATCAACTGGGAGACATCAGCTCCATATGCAGATGATAATGGTATAAATGGTATATAAATTGTATATTACTACATAAATAAGGGAGACTGACAATCGAAAAAAGGCATCACGTTTCTCATCAAGTGTTATTGTTAGGTTACCATTTACGTATTTTCCAAATAAAATATCCAACTATAATTGAATTCTGGTTGTAAAGCTGTATTTGATTGTATAAAACAAATACGTTTTATCGTATAAAATGGGTTGCCTACGTCACAATGACTTGCGTCAAAAACGTATCGATCCGCCTGACGTTACATTCAAATTTTGTACAAATTGAAGTCATTTTTAAGGACAATCATCTTTTTTTTTCTTTCACCAAATATATGAAAATTAAATTATAAGGAATGAATTTAATAGCTACCCATTTTATACGGTTTAAACTGAGTTGGAACAGTTTACACCTTTTTATAAACCGCTTCGCGGTTTATAAAGCGTAAACAGCCCCAACTCAGGTTATACCGTATAAAAAGGGTAGCTATTAAATTCATTCCTTAAATAAAACAGATGTGTCAGACCATTTAGTTTTTATTTATTTTGAGTTCAAAGGGGTATATCAAATCAACGTAAGGATGAAAATGAATTTTGTTAATTGATAGTATGTCGTCGATATATCAAAATGTTGAATCGAGGGCTACAGCAAGAGACTTCTTCTTTTCATGTAGAAGTTTCTGAATAAATTCTTCTTCATATGAGTACTAAAATAGTACAAACGGGAATTCCGACAGATTGTTGGAAGACCTGATCTCCAACATACGTAGATATTGTCAATCAGAAACTCAAACTTTTTTAATAGTAGCTTCGGAGTACTTGTGTGTACAGTCGGAACTTTTTTTTAAACAAAATAATTTTGCAAATGACCTATGACAAGGTAAGTAAATTTACGAGTTCCATTTTTATTGAAAAAGCAGCTGTCTATGATATCAAAAAGCCTGGACTGTAACTTATGGTGGGGAATGGTTGTATAAAGTGTTGAAAAGTCGTACTTTTTCATGTTATTGACTTTAGTAACATTTTTTGATTTCAAATTTTCTAAAAGTTCTTTGGAATTTTAAAGTATTCACATCTGATTTCTTAAATATATTGTTGTACAGTACTCCTGAAGCGTCTCCTTCACTGCATCAATATTTTAGTGAAAGATAAGGAAAGAGTTTTGTAGATCATTTACTGGAACCCGCTATATATCTTTGTAAGGATTTTAAAGTAATTTAGGAATCTAGTATAGGTGCACGTATGGAAGTTCAAATTCGATTTGATTGATGGAAGTACTAAAAATATTTAAAACTGGCATACGCTTTAGAAGAATTTCTTCCTGAGCAAGGGAACTATGATTATAAGTTGAATTGCCACTTGCAGAATTAAGTCCAGAATCCTCTAGAACAATTGAAATAATGAGCTTTACAAAAAAAAAAAAAAAAAAAAAAAAAAAAAAAAAAATGTTGAAAATTTATAGAAATTTCTATTTGTGAAAAATTCTTGCGTTATATAAAATAATAATAATGAGTAAAAGTGTTTGCTAAAGACATGAAAAGATTCATTATACTCCAAATCTGGATACCCCCTCCTCCCACCTTAAAAATAAATAAAAATAGCAAGAGCCTATAATTTCTCAATAATATGAGATTTCTCCGTCAATCTAATCCATACTCCGTTCCATGAAAGCAGATTGTACTTTTTTTTAACGCTTAGATAATAACGGAAAACATGTTCTAAGTAAAAACACGTCAGTATAAAGATCCAAGATATTAAATTTAACAAGTGTGTTGATTTGAAGGATTTTCTTCTAAATATCCTCCCACAACAAGAAGTAGTCAACCATAAATTTTTTTCTTTACGATTTTGTGGGCAGTTTTTATATTTATTTATCTGTGATTATGGATATTGCAAATCATAGGCTTTTAAACCGCCACGTTTTACGGAGGAAAATGCAGCTAAAACAACCCGTGTTTTCCTTAAACTCCAATATGCCAACAAAGGAATTGACGCGGTTAATATAATTAATATTCTTAATCACAAAAGGGTTCAGTCTTGTATTCCACCATATTTCAAGTTGAAGACTACACCTTGTATTTCCTATAGATATACATCGACTATTGCTTCCAAACTTTTTAATTACAAGAAAACTTTACAGGGCCTGGATATCGAATATCTGAAACATAATCCTCCATCGTGTTCATGTTAGTCTCCACCCTATAACTATAGTCCTACTGGACACGTTATTACTGGTGACGTAAATATAGTTAATAGTGAGGACCTTAGATCATTCATTTTAAAAGTTCCTTAATGTAGGGAACCCCGATCCTTTACCTGGCGACGTAATTTCATACATATTATGGATTCTGTAGAGGACTACGCCGGGCGTTGGGTCAGACATGAAAAAGAAGACCTTGACACTTTGTCAGAATGGATTAAATGTATCAGATATATGTAAAATCTCACATTAAGCGATTGAGGGGAAATATGAAAACCATCTATCCTTCTGTATTCAATAATTCAGAAGTGAAAAAAAGAATTAGATAGATTACAAGATCAGTACGTACTGGTCCCTGCTGACAAGGCAGGTAACAACATTGTCTTTGTTTGTAAGGCTCATTATATGAATTGTATTTTAGAGGAACTGGGATTTAATTCTACAAGTGGTAATCCAACTTATACCCATAGCTCCCTTTCTAAGGAGGAAATTCTTCAAAATCATATGTCAGTTTTGAATAATTTTAATATTTAAATTACCATATCTATATTGGATTCCAAAACTTCATAAAAATCCTTACAAGCAAAGATACATAGCGGGTTCCAGTAAATGTTCAACCAAGCCTCTTTCTTTACTCCTCACTAAGATATTAACAGTAGTGAAGGAGAAACTTCAAGAGTACTGTGCAGCAATATATTCGAGAAGTGGTGTAAATCAGATGTGGATACTATAAGATTCCAAGGAACTTTTGGAACATTTGAAATCACAACATTTTATCAAAATCAACAACATAAAAACTTCGCAGTACAGTTAAGGTGCCAAATGGAAATATCGGCGAATTTTTTAGATAGAAAATACATTCTTTACAAGGATGGGCGATTCTTTTTAGGCCTTTACTATTATCGGACAGATGTAATGTGGCTGAAAACTACATGTTGAGGACGTTTAGATTTCTTATTTAGATTTGTCACGTAATGTGGCAGTCACGTGATTTTAGCGAATATACCCGCAGTATTGAGGTCATCTATAAATTCCAATATTGCAAGGGTATAACCAACTTAAAAATCTAAGTTTAATTTATAATTATTTTCAAAACTCTTTGTAGTTTGTGAAAAATGCTGCGAACCTATATAAAGTCTACTATATAATTGCTAAAATTACAATTGTTACGTATGTTGAATATTTTGCTGGTCAAGTGGTCAAGTACATTAAATGTAGATATAATTAATTCATTTGCAAGATTTCATCAGGTTTGCAGCAATTTTCATATATCTTCATACCTCTTGAGTTTATATGTAAAAACTTGTCGTAATTCATTGAGGGTATGCCCTTGCAATATATCGATTTATTACGACCCTTCCATTACCCGTCAATGAATCTGCATAAAAATGTACGGCAGTTTCGCTTATCGAGGGAATGTACTGGAAGAATATGAATAAAATCATGAAATAGACATCGCATCCAAGTAAACGACCTCTTATATATCTGCAAATAATATTTTATTTAATTAAAAAATACATTTTTCATTGTATGAAATATAACTTGATCCGCCTCTCACTGCATACAAACTGCGTCAAATTTTACGATATGACGTCACATTGACAAGTGCATTGCAATCAGTGAATTGTTTTTATATTGCTGTGCAGGATTTAACCAACGACAAAAATACATGCAATAGTAAGTATTGATGTAATTTAAAGCTATCCAACAGTTTAAAATAGCATATCATTTCATTTTGTGGTAATTTGAAGAACATATATTTTTGTGTGATGTCATAGTAAGCATTTCCCGTAAAAAATTAGGCCCCGCCTCCTTATTGAAGCCTTAACTTTATTTACAACTATTCCCCACGATAAATTAAAGTCATGACTTTCTGAAAT